GTGTTACAGTTCTGCTTCTTGCTGGTTACTGTAACTAGTTGACTTATTGCTGGTTACTGTAACTAGTTGATTGACCGCGCGAGGGGGGGGAGGCCCAAACCGGCTTTTTAGCGTCCCCTGGGCGCGTTGTCTGAATTGCTGGGGGGGCTCGAAATCGCCACCCCTCACGCAGATCCGCGGGGTCAGGGTCCAAAAACACACGGGATTTGCCACATTTCTGAACTTCGGTGCCACCCCTCACGCAGATCCGCGGGGTCAGGGTCCAAAAACACATGGGATTTGCCACATTTCTGAAATTCGGTGCCACCCCTCACGCAGATCCGCGCGGTCAGGGTCCAAAAACACAAGGGATTTGCCACATTTCTGAAATTCGGTGCCACCCCTCACGCAGATCTGCGGGGTCCGGGTCCAAAAACACATGGGATTTGCCACATTTCTGAAATTCGGTGCCACCCCTCACGCAGAACCGCGGGGTCAGCGTCCAAAAACACATGGGATTTGCCACATTTCTGAAATTCGGTGCCACCCCTCACGCAGATCAGCGGGGTCAGGGTCCAAAAACACAGGGGATTTGCCACATTTCTGAAATTCGGTGCCACCCCTCACGCAGATCCGTGGGGTCAGGGTCCAAAAACACAGGGGATTTGCCACATTTCTGAAATTCGGTGCCACCCTTCACGCACATCCATCGCAAGGCGTGGTAACCCAAACTGCGAGAACTCCCTCGGCCCTTTAATTGCAAGGTGTGGTAACCAAGCCCGTAAACCATACACGTCTTACCAATCGCCAGGTGTGGTAACCCCTCTTGTGATCAGTTGGTTTTGCTGATTGCGGATCGGCTTCGCATGAAGTTTCGATACTGCTTCACGACAGCGCCAAGGCCTCATGACTTAGCTCTTCCATGGCCCATTCTCCGAGAGAGGGGGCCGGCGGCAGGGGGCGAAGCCCTTACGGATATATACACACACGAGAAGGAAGTCATTGTCTCCCTCCACACAAGCATGGTGTGGACTTCTATGTTCCCCCAGTTTGCAGCTCCTCAGCAATCGCGGCCGGGTCGCCCAACGCGCTCAAAAGATTATCTGTGGGTCTCTCTGGCCAAAGTGGGAGGAGGGATGAGTGAGGGACGAGGGACTATGGATGAGTGATGGGGGGGAGAAGGGAATGAGGGAGAGTGATGGAGGAGGGAGTGGGGGGAGGGATGAGGGAAGGAGGACAGTGGAGGAGGGGAGGGGAGGAGGGGCAAGCTAGGTGCGCTCGCGTCATATCTGACATCCTACCCCTCCCTTCCATCCCTTACCATGGCGCAGATCCCCTCTCTACTCGCACAGTCGGATGTCGAGCAGGGCAATGATCCCGAAAGGGTACGCGATGCATTGTAGAGCACGGCATGGCATGGCGTAGAAGAGCACCGCAAAACGTAGTATCAACCTAGCATTGCATTGCATGCCGTGGCATGGCACGGGAAATGACGCCAGCGCTGCAGCGGGAGCACGAGTCGAAACGAGCGGAAACGCGGAAATGAGGCCAGCGCTGCAGCGGGAACACGATTCGGAACGAGCGGAAGCACGCCAGAATCGGCCCAGGAGGCTTCCCGGGCGCCAGAAGCAGAAATTCAGCAAGCTCGATTTTCCAGCGCCAGCCGGAACCGGCTCCGGACCCGGCCCGGGCGCCGGCCCGGGCGCCGGCTCGGGCGTCTGGCCCGGGCGCCGGCTCGGGCGCCAGCCCGGGCGTCGGAATCGGGCCGGGAGGCCCCCCGGGCGCCGGAAGCAGAAATTCAGCATTTTCAAAAGAAAATGTGTATTGGAATTGCCTTTTTTCGGCGCCGCCTCGGAACTCGATTTTCCGGCGCCGGCCGGAACCGGCTCCGGACCCGGCCCGGGCAGCGGCCCGGGCGCCGGCTCGGGCGTCCGGCGCGGGCGCCGGCTCGGGCGCCGGGCTGGGCGTCGGAATCGGCTCGGGAGGCCTCCCGGGCGCCGGAAGCAGAAATGGCGCATTTTCAAAAAGAAAATATGTATATGGCCTTTTTTCGGCGCCGCCTCGGAACTCCATGCACCGGGGGCGGCCGGAACCGGCTCCAGACCCGGCGGCCCGAGCGCCGGCCCGGGCGCCGGCTCGGGCGTGCAGCCCAGGCGCCGGCGGAAATGATGCCAGCGCTGCAGCGGGAGCACGATTCGGAACGAGCGGGGCCCGAAAATGAGGCCGGCGCCTCAGCGAGAGCAGCATTTTGGAAAAAAATGCAAGCGAAAACCTAACTTCGGGGTAAACTGTGTGTAAAAAACAGTACGCGGGGGGGGGCGAACACTCCCAACAGGGGAAGAGGGAGAGTAGTATTCATATTGAGGAATTGTGGAAAATGATGATGAGGAGGAGGAGGAGGCTTCAGGGCCGGGAGAGGGAGGGTGGAGGATCGACGCAGATCCGATCCTGCTCTCGCTACTCTGTCCCCCCCCTCAAGCCTCGGCCCTCCTCCTCCTCCTCGATCCCGACTCCTCGCTCCTGATCCTCCTGCTCCGATCCTCGCTCATCGCTCCTTCTCCTTCTCCTCCTCCTCCACCATCCTCGGTCCTCCTCCATCCTCGATCGATCGTCGATCCCTATCAAGAACTTAGAAGAACAAATATGCACACAAAAAATATAAACGTTCGGAGGCCCGCGCGGATAGCCTGGAGCTGCGCTGAACTTCCGCCCCCTGGCGCACGGAGCGGCGCCGGGGGCAGCGCCAGGGGCGGCGCCAGAGGCGGCGCCAGGGGGCGGCGCCAGAAGCGCCGCCGGGGGGGCAGAGCAGACCCAACAACAAGTGCGCGGAGCTCTGAGAGCCGATGCTTGTGCATCAACTTATTCTTCGAGGGTCCAGGATCGCCTCCCCATGTCTCTCTCGAGCCACTCCCCCAGGACCAGCTTTTTGTTCCGGAGTCGATGTTCTGCGGTCCCGAGGCCCTGCGAGGCCCCCAGACAGCCGTCCTCGAGAATCCTCCTCTTCCGGGAGCCTCGATCCTCCTCCTCGTCGATCCTCCATCCTCGACTCTCCTCCTCGATCCTCCATATTGCTCGTCGACCCTCCTCGATCCTCGATCCCCACCTATGATCGAGGATAGTAGGACGCGAACGATGTCATGATGCAATTGGCTCTGAATACGTCCCAGAGCCAATTGGCTCTGAATGATGCAGTTGGCTCGCGGTCCTCGTCTCTGGAGTCTGTGCGGGACAGCAGGAAATCCCGGGGACCCACGAAAACCTTGATTCGTATCCCTATCATGACTCATTGCACCTTGATCCTGGTCCTCCTAGACCTCCTCCTCCATCCTGCTCCTCACTCCTCGCTCCTCGCTCTTCCTCGATCCTCATCGAACCGCATCCTTCTCCGCCTCCTCCTTCTCGTCCTCCTCCTCCTCCTCCTCGTCCTCCTCCATCCTCCTCCTCCATCCTCTTCCTCCTCCTCGTCCTCCTACTAGCTTGTCCCTCCTCCTCCTCCACTTCCTTCTTCCTCGCTCCTCGCTCCTTCTCCACCTCGTCCTCCATGGGGATATCAAAGGGTACGGATAACGCTACTTCCCGGACCTCTCCGAGGGTGCGTTCTGACCAGGATTCCGAGGCGAATCCAGCGGTGGCGACAAGGGCCGCCCAGGAGACCCAAAAATGGGAAAGCCAGGAGAGGGTAGAGGTATGGGTACCTGTTTCTCCTCCTCCTCCTATTCCTCCTCCTCCTCAGCAGTGGCAAAAAATCGTTGGTGGAGTGTTCGGTGTAGATGGTTTTGGTGGGGAGTACGCTCTAGATCGGAGACTTAGGAGGTGTGGATGGGCCGTGGTGCATTTGAGTGACGACCCCTTGGATGTACGAAGGAAACTTTGTGATACCCTTCCTACCGTGGGTCTCGATATCCAGAGCTTTCCCCGTGCTGAATGTTATGCTAAAGGTAACCGTGTAAGTATACGATTGGTAATGCGTGCGCTTCTGTTGATGATTCAAACGACCGGGTACTAGAGTAGACTCGTTCACGATATTCGACCGATGGCAGCAAGTATGGGATCATCTTCGAGGCAGACCTGGAGTAGTAGATTGCAATTGGGTCAAAAGCAACCCCACGCGGCCGCAAATAGGTGACCACGGTCTCACTCCCCACGGGCTCGTGGCTAACAGTGTGGCGCAAGTGTTTGCTGGGGCGGCTGCCGAATGGGGGGCTCTAGATCCTGATCTAGTTAAACAAGTGGAGCGTTTGGGTATGTGTGTTGCCTTCTCGCGCTCAATCGGCTCCTACCTGTCAATCGTCATGTGTCGTTGACGTGCAGTCGCGTGTGCGCGTGCGTGTGTGTGAAGATAGGCTGGGCCGTGAAAAACATAGAGAGAAGGGTCGTACGTGTAGTAGTGCAATGAGTCGAATACGGCTTGTTGGATCGTGGAGTCTCGATGTCATGCACCGTGTGTCTCAAGAGTTTTCCTGTTTTAAAAGAGCGCTTGGACAAGTGCTGGCCACCAGAGGCCTGCGGGGGCCCTGCTGTCGTTGCTCCCGCGGATGCTGGAAGCAAAGCGTGGCGCCCTGCGAGGTCCCAGGGCGATCAACCCAGCATCCCTTTATGCGATCCCTCCCATGACCTGGTGGTCTACAGAGTGGTGTTGTTTTGCACTCATCATGGCAAATTCTGTGTAAGTAAGGCCGTGCTGCTTAGTGACAAGTGACCGCCGCAGGCAAGCAAGACGGGCAAGCAGAACTTGAGCAGAATTTGGAGGGACTTTTCACCGAAGCATGGTGTGAAGTTCCCATGAGTGTTGATGGGGTCTAAGCTTGCCCTCAGAAATCCCACCAAGGAGGAATCTGAGGAATCATCCTTCTCCTCCTCCTCATCTTCCTCCTCCTCTTCCTCCCGCCCCTCCTCCTCCTCCGTCCTCGCCCCTCGCTCATCGATCCTCCTCGATCCTCGCTCGATCCTCGACCCCACCCGAGGAATCCAGCACTCAGGATGAAGCCCCGCGGGCCGCGGCATGACCACTGCGGGGCCGCCTCGACGTCCTCCACCGATACGGGCTCTGCGGCAGCACCGGGCGCGTAGCGCCCCTTGGCGCCGCGGGGCGGCGGCGAGCCGCACCTCTCTGCGGGGAAGGCAGACGGGCTTCCTCCTCCATCACTTTTTCTCCCTCTCGCTTCCCGTTCCTCCTTTCTCCTCCTCCCGCCTCCCTCCTCCCTCCTCCTCCCTCTCGTTCCTCGTTTCTCGTTTCTCCTCCTCCCGCTTCCGCTCCTCCCTCCCCCTCCTCCTCCCTCCCCTACCCTCTTCCTCTCCCCTTCCGCTCGTTCCCTTCCCCCCATCGCTCCGTTCCTCCTCCCTCCTCCTCCCTCCTTGCCCCTCCCTCCTCTCTCCTCCTCCTCTCCTCCTCCTCCCTCCTCCTCCTCCTACCTCCTCCTCCTCCTCCTCCTCCCTCCTCCTCCTCCTCCGTCCTCCTCCTCCTCCTCCTCCTCACTCCTCCTCCTCCTCCTCCTCCTTCCTCCTCCTCCTCCTCCTCCTCCTCCCCTCCTCCTCCTCCTCCTCCTCCTCCTCCTCCTCCTCCGTCCTCCTCCTCCTCCTCCTCTCCTCCTCCTCCTCCTCCTCCTCCTCCTCCTCCTCCCCCGCTCCTCCCCCGCCGTCCGTCGCTTCCGTCCTCGTTTCCCGCGGGGGCGCGATCCCTACCCCACGCGTCCCCGCGCCGACACTCCGCGCTCGCGCCGCCCTCACCGCGCCCTCCTCTTCCTCCCTCCTCCTCCACTCATCCTCCTTCTCCTCCTCCTCCTCCTCCTCCTCCTCCTCCTCCTCCTCCTCCCTCCTCCTCCTCCTGCTTGTCCTCATCCTCCTCCGCCTCCTCCTCCCTGCTCGCCCCTCTCCCCCCCCTTCCTCACCTCCTCATCTTCTGTATCCTCCCCCCCTCCTCCTCCTCCGCATCTCCTCCCCCTCGCCCCTCTTCCCCCCTCCTCCTGCTTCATCTTGTGCTTTCCCGCCTCATCCTCCTCCTCCTCTCCGCCCTTTCCTCCTCCTCCTCCTCCTCCCTCCTCCTCCTCCCCCTCCATCCTCCTCCGCCCCCTTCTTCTCTGGCAAGGCGGCGGAAGGCACATTAAATGACCTCAAGACTCCTCATGTCCTCTCTCATTCCCTCCTCTCATCTCCTCCTCTCTCCCCTCCTCCCGGCGTCCCTGCTGGGGCGGAGCGGGGGGGGATCTCGACGAGGCGGCGGGAGCAGAATGACCCCGATATTCCTCCCCTCCCCCAATTATTCGCAGTTTTCGTCCACTGGGGGCCATCGCCGGGCTACGGGGCCATCGAGAAACGCCCTGTGATGAAACGCTGGCCCAAGGGAGCAGATTGGGCCTTCGAGGGGGCCACGCTCTGAAAATCATCATGGCTTCGGATCTCTGGGCTTCCCCTCCCCGCCCCTCCCTCCCCTCCCCCTCCCCTACCCTCCTCCCCCTCCTCCTCCTCCTCCCTCCTCCTCCCTCCTCCTCCCCTTCCTCCTCCCCCTCCCACCTCCTCCTCTCCTCCTCCCACCTCCTCCTCCTCCTCCTCCTCCTCCTCCTCCTCCTCCTCCCCTCTCCTCCTCCGGGGCCTTGTCCACGCGCGTTCCCTGCGCGGCGCAGAGAAGGCGCGCGTGACGGGCTCTTGTGCCCGGCTTCCGGATCAATTATGTTAATGGAAGATTCAAGCAACATTTTCTGAAGGGGCCCAGGGACACCACAACAAAAACACACCCATCCGCCGACCCTGTCGGGGTGTGCGAGGGGCTTGGCTGTTCGAGTCGTCGTCTCCGTCGGTCGTCGCCTCCGTCGTCCCCTTTCCCTGCAGCTTCCTTCTCAAGCTCGTGAGCGAGAGAAAAATCTAGCAGTGTCGTAATCGAGTCGAAGGGAAGCCCCTTCCCTTCGATCCCTTCCCCAGGGGGGGGGGTCCGGGGGGGTCCCGGGGGGGGTCCCGGGCCGGGGGGTGTCCCGGGGGGGGTGGGGGGGCAGATTCGTTTTCCCTCGGGCGGCCTAGAAACCTCGAAAACACTCCAAATGAGGTCCGAATGCCCAAGATGGCCCCCGAGACGGCCCAAGAGGGCCCCGAGTCGCCCAAAGATCGGCCGAAAACGCCCAAGATAGCCCCAAGACCGTCCAAAAAGCCTCCAAGACGTCCCAGGCCCCCTCCAAGAGACCCCCAGGAAGCTCCAAGAGGCCCCCACGAGGCTTCCAAGCGGCCCCTCAGAGCTTCCCAAGAGGCCCACAAACTACCCCCAAGAGGCCCCCAAGAGCGCTCGTCGTCGTCGTCGTCGTCGTCGTCGTCGTCGTCGTCGTCGTCGTCGTCGTCGTCGTCGTCGTCGTCGCCAGTCAGGGTCGGCGGCACCGGCCGTAAGGCCTTCGCAAAAATACACAAAGAACAGGATTCCCTTTTTTATTTTCTTCGTCTTCCCCCCACCTCCCATGTTTTCCCATCTGTTCTAGGAGATCGGCAATTAATTGTGTCTGTGTGTATTTTCCCCTCCTGATTTCCTTCCCCTGGAGGCACGAGTCGTGCGAGCCAAAATTGGCCGATCGACGTCGTCTCGGGGCCCGGGCGTTGGGTACACAAAATAATTCTGGCCCTGGGAAGAGGGGGGAAACGCGACCCAGACAGCGGGCGAACGAGTTTTTCGGCGCAGGGTGGGCCCGTATATTACTTATTTATTTATTTATTTATATATATAAATATACATACATGTACAATCTATATATTTATATATATGACATGTTTTTGAGACAATTGATTTGTCCTGAGCCGTTTGTTCGGAGATCCTAGAAATCGAAACAAGCCCGCAAATGGTGAACGACTGTTTGCATGATTTTTGTTCGAAGCGCCGGCTGTCCCGGGAGAGCCCGCGTCATGAACAATGTGGGACCCCCTCCTCCCCTCCACCTCACCTCCTCCTCACCCCTAGACCTCCAGCGTCGTGGCCTTGTACTCGACGTGGGACCGCGGAACGCTCGACCCGTGCACCGAGTTGGTTTTTTGGGACATTTGTCCTCCAATGGTTGCGTGTCCGAACGCGGCCCCAAAAGATGGAAATCGAAAGCAAAACCTTGGCGAAGGGCCGAAGCACATGCAAATGCGAATAACGCAAACGTGAAAACATCTTCGGTGGAATCCCCAACGAACTCACACAGCGCGGGCGTCAAATTCGCCGCTTGGGCTTGCTGCGCCGCCGCAGCGACGCGGGCCACCAATTAGTTCGCCACCTCCCCCTCCTCCTCCTCCCCCTCCTCCTTCTCCTCCTCCTCATCCTCCCTCCTCCTCCTCCTCCTCCTTCCTCTCACCCTCGCCCCTCTCCCCTCCGCCTCCTCCTCCTCCTCCTCCTCCTCCTCCGCCTCCTCTTTCTCCTCCTCCTCCTCCTCATCATTCTACTATTGCGCGCGTTTGACATTTCTCCGCCATCCGGGCGCTATCATCGCCCACCGTCGACGATGCGAGTTGTTTGAGTTCCCCTTGGTTCACTTCCCCTTGTCCTCCCTCCCCTTACCTCCGTTCCTTGTCATCCACCTTCCTTCCCTCCTCCTCCGCCTCCTCCTCCTCCTCCTCCTCCTCCCCCATCCTCCTCCTCCTCGTCCTCCATCCGGTGTTCCCCCTTGGCCTCCTCTGCACGTGCATGCAAGCGGCGGAAGGCGCTACTGGTAAAGGCCGCGGGTTGCGCGAGAGAGAGGCGCGAAGCAGCCAGCCCAGGCACCAACCACCCGCCTGGCATCAGCGGGAGTTTCCCCCAACTGCCTATTTGGTATTGTGGGGAATCAAAACAGATGGCGAAATGGCAAAGCAACCATAGCACGCGCGACGAATGGAATCGAAGCACGCATGCACCTCACCACTGCTTTGGGCAACGCCCATCAATGCAGCAAGTTTCGCGTTCCCTGGCGACGCAGACATCAACGCGTGGCTCTCGCGTGCCAGTGGGGGCGGGGGGGAATCCGAGATCAACTGGAACGCTTGCGCAGCTGAAACAATGATCACCGAGGAGTAGCAGGAGGAGGAGGAGGAGGAGGAGGAGGAGGAGGAGGAGGAGGAGGAGGAGGGGGAAGAGAAGGGAGGAAGGAGGAGGGAGGAGGGAGGAAGGAAGTGGGAACACGTCCACGAGCGTTTGGGCCGAGGCCCTCTCGCAACGCGGGCACCCTTCGGCGCGGCGGATTTTTCTCTTAAACTAAGGCAAGCACGTGGCCGCACGATCTACCCAAAGTAAGCGGCTCAAGAAACAACTCGAGAAACTAAGTGAGCGAACACGCATCGCGAGTAATTCCTGACCGCGGCGCGTACGGTCTAATTACGTTCGCGCAGGAAGACGGCACGAACTGCCAAGCTAACGCCGAATTGACTCAACGCATATCCTTATCGGGGTCATCCGTCTGGTCTGGAACTGGTAATTTGCCAACGGTGCGGTCCAGAGACAGGAGGGAGATAAGAGGGACGCGGGGCACTCTCTTCAAAACGGGGACTCGATACCACAGGATGGTTGGAAACGAATCCTCGGAGATCTGGAAACTTCGATCTCACGATGCGTTCAGGAGCACGCGGCCCCCCCAGGGCGCCACAGCCCCGCCGTGCCGCCGCCGCTGGGCGTGGCCGGCGTGCCCGGCTCGCCGATGTGCGAGCCGCTCACCTGGCGCTGCGGGGGAGCCGGCCCCGCTGGCCGCGGCCCGCCGCCGGCTGCCCCCTCTCGAGTGGCGAACATATCCGTATCCGCGCCCTCGCGGTCTGGATTCTAGGGCGAGATCCCGCGGATACGCTGTCACACGGATACGCTCCGCATGGGGCTTCCGCGAAAGAACGCTCCGCATCCGCGGGGCGCGGCCCAGGGGCCCGGTCCGCGAGGCCACGGGTACGGGTATGTTTTCCGTCTACGAGCCCTCTCTCCGAGGTCCTGGCGCCACCATTGTTTCACGAGGGGCGATTTTGCCTTGATTCGGGCCTGGTGACCCTCACGGATCTACGGCTCGAAAACTGCAGCAGAAAGAGAAGGTCTAGGGCTCTAGTCGTGATTTGTAGGGATATTGGATTTGTTTCGCAACGTCAGATCTCAAGGACCCTCCACCCAGACCACCATCGGACCCCCCCCCACACCCAGACTCCCACCCAGGCTTCCCCCCCCCACCCAGACCTCCACCCAGACCACCCAGACATCCTCCCCACTGGTTCCCCCCCCCCCACCCCACACCCAGATCTCCACCCAAACCCCTCCCTCGTCACCCAGACCACCAAAACCTCCACCAAGACCTCCACCCACACCACCCTCCACCAAGACCATCACCGAGACCACCACCAGACCCCTCCCCCCACCCTGACTTCCACCCATGCCCACCCCCACCAAGACCTCCACCCAGACCACCCAAGACCTCCCCCCACTGGCCGCCCCCTCCCCCACCCAAACCTCCAACGGAAGGATCAGTTCGCAAGTTTTCGTGGGCTGCTGCAAGACTTCTCGCCTCGGGATGCCTGCCAGCAGCTGCGCCTCGCCGAGAGCGTCCCGGCGCTGGGCCTGGATAGTCCCGAGCGGCCGCCCGAGGCCCAGATGGCCCGTAAGACAAACCTCCGACGCGCGGACAGCATCATGACCGAAACTTCTCACAAATTTCGGCCTCTGGGGGAGCTCCCTATGGGGCCGCGAAGCGAATGCGGGGTGTGCCGAACAGGGGCGGCGGTGCCATGCAAACCCTCCCACTGGGGCCTTCGGTGGAAAGCAAAAGAAGAACGAAGAGAAAAAAAACAAAAAAAAAAAGAAAATGAAAAATAATAATAAAAATAAAGTAGAAAAAAAAAAAGGATCAGAAAGAATAAATATAAAATAAATGTAAAAAGAAAAAAAAGAGGGCAGAAAAAACAAAGCAAAAGATAGCAAAAGAAGCAATACAAAAGAACAAAGACAGGAAAAAGAAAAATACAGTAGAAGAGGAAAACGAACATGCAGGAGACAAAGAAAGGAATAAATAGAAACAAAAGCAAAAAAATAGAACATACGAAAATAAAGATAATAACAACAGCTCCCTATCGGGCCACGAAACGTGTACGTGGTTTGCCGAAATTGGGCAGCGGTTCCTTGCGAACCCTCCCACTGGGGCCTCCCACTCTCTCCAGGCCCCATATTCTTCCTGCCATCGACCCCACCAGCTCTCCCCCCCGAGACCTCTGGAGGACCCCAAATCGTCTACGCCCGACAACCCGTAGTGGGTACAAACGCAGAGGGGTGTCGGCGTCTCTGTCGCCCCTCGCCGCATACGCTGCGCCCCTTGGCAAACACACCTTTTCCCTGAACAGCGCGCCCAAAGGTTCCATACACCTAGAAAGCCTCACCACAGCCCTCCTGGGCGTCCGTGGTTTAGGGCGTTTCCTCTTCCACCCCTCCTTCTTCCCCTTCGGGGAGGGGTTTACCCCTCCCCCTACCCCCTCCCCACTGACCTGGACAGGAGGGGCGGGGAGCGGTCAGAGCGTCCAAAACGGCCTCGGCGAGGAAGCCAAAATCATTGATTTTACTATGGTTTTGGCTCCATTTTGGCCTTCTGAGGGGGCAGCGCTAATTAAAGCTCCCCTCTTCTTTGATCGATTTCTTCCACGATGGCCGCAAGAAGCCCCCAGGATGCCCCAAGAGGCCGCAGGATGGCCCCAAGATGGCCCCAAGAGGCCCCCCAAGAGGCCCCCAGGAGGCCCCCAAGAGACCCCCAAGAGGCCCCAAGAGACCCCCCAGAGGCACCCAAGGTTCTCCAGAGGGCATTTTTACTATGGTTTGGGCCCAATTTTGTGGCCCAATTTTGGCCTGCTGAGGGGCACGAAGCGAATGCGGGTTGTGCCGAACGGTCTGGGTGCCATGCAACCTCCCACTGGGCCTTCGGTGGAGCTCCCTATCGGGCCACGAAACGTGTACGTGGTTTGCCGAAATTGGGCAGCGGTTCCTTGCGAACCCTCCCACTGGGGCCTCCCACTCTCTCCAGGCCCCATATTCTTCCTGCCATCGACCCCACCAGCTCTCCCCCCCGAGACCTCTGGAGGACCCCAAATCGTCTACGCCCGACAACCCGTAGTGGGTACAAACTCAGACGGGGTGTCGGCGTCTCCGTCGCCCCTCCCCGCATACAGCTGCGCCCCATTGGCAAACACGCTTTCCCTGAACAGCGCGCCCAGACAGGTTCCATATACTTATAAATCCCACCAGCCCTCTGGGCGTCGGTGGTTTAGGGCGTTTCCTCTTCCACCCCTCCCTCTTCCCCTTCGGGGAGGGGTTTACCCCTCCCCCTACCCCCTCCCCACTGACCTGGACAGGAGGGGCGGGGAGCGGTCAGAGCGTCCAAAACGGCCTCGGCGAGGAAGCCAAAATCATTGATTTTACTATGGTTTTGGCTCCATTTTGGCCTTCTGAGGGGGCAGCGCTAATTAAAGCTCCCCTCTTCTTTGATCGATTTCCTCCACGATGGCCGCAAGAGGCCCCCAGGATGCCCCAAGGGGCCGCAGGATGGCCCCAAGATGGCCCCAAGAGGCCCCCCAAGAGGCCCCCAGGAGGCCCCCAAGAGACCCCCAAGAGGCCCCAAGAGACCCCCCAGAGGCACCCAAGGTGCTCCCAGAGGCATTTTTACTATGGTTTGGGCCCCATGTTGGCCTTCTGAGGGGGCAAAGATGGCCCCAAGAAGCGCCCAGGAGGCCCCCAAAGGCCCCAAGATGGCCCCAAGAGGCCCCAAGAGGCCCCCAGGAGGCCCCAAAGAAGATCCCGAACGGCCCACAGAGGCCCCCCCGAGGCACCCAAGACGCCGAAAAGCCCCTCAGGACGACCCTCTACTCGCCTGGGCGTCGTTTCCGGACGGGCTGGTGGGGATACGCGAAGCGTCTGGAATTACACCAATTTCTATCACAATACCACCCAGTCTAGCACGCCGCGTTTGGGGAATAAGGGAGCCATTTAATAAGGAATCCATGGTCGGGACGAAGGAGAGACACCACCTGAGGCCGTCATGTGAGCCACTTGGGCCGACATGTGACTCTTTTGCGCCCTGTTGGGGCGGCTTTGGGAGCCGCCTGGGCCGCCGTACCCCACCCAATCTAATCCACCCAGCCCAATCCATCAATAAATCACCCAATCGAATCCACCCAACCCAATCCATCAATTCATTTGTTTCTGCGCCTGCGGCGGGCCAATCCAATTCATCTTATCCAATCCATCTCTTCCAATAATACAACCCACCTTACAGGCTGGAGGTCCGTCAGGGGTGGGCATTTGATCTCAACCCCCCCGCCGCCCCCCCCCCCCCCCCCAGCCCCCTCATCGCCCGCAGTTCGGCGGGGTACAGGTGTGTGTGTGTGTAAATATAATTATATATATATATATATATATATATATATATCTAATATCCAGGTGCTTTGTAATTTTTCTCGTGGGGGGCTGCTTCTGCAACAAATCGCCGCGCGTCGACGCGACCTGGGCGCCGGCCGGTCAGCGCGCAGACTGGCGGGGGCCTGAGAGGCGAGATGGCCCCCGCCCAACACGCCCCAAAAGAGAGAGAGGGCCAAGGGAGGGAGGGAAAAGAGAGAAGAAGAGGCTTGATTATAGATTATAGCAACGGGAGACATCGCCCGAACAATACCCCTCACCTTCCCGTGCAAGCACACACACACACAGGTGCTGTTGCATTTTGCTCGCGGGCGCACTTTCTGCTGCGCGGCGCCGCGCGTCGACGCGACCTGGGCGCCAGCCGGTCAGCGCGCAAACTGGCGGGGGCCCGAGAGGCAAGAAGGCCCCCGCTCAAGACATCCCAAACCCGAAATGGGCGACCCAAGCATGGAGGCCCCCAGGGACGGGCGGGACAGGGCAACAAGAGAAAGCACGCACATTGAAAAACATTGGCGGGGCAGAAGGCCGGCGTCAGCCAGAAGCTAGAGTGGCGATCCAATCGCGCCCATTGGAAGGAAGCGACTGGACCATGGCCTTACACAGAGCTGGAGGGTAGGAGGCTGCGATGGCTGTCCATGTGACGCCTGATGGCGCCGCCCCCTCTATTGCGAAATGCTCGCGGCCTGTGCGACTACACAAACCAAGGCTGCCCTGGCATCTGCGATCGAATCTTCCAGCGTCTGCTTTAAAAAGGAATCAAGATTCGTGCGCTTCCGCCAGCTTCACCCAAGCCGACACTGGTAAACAACTCTGGAGTGTCCCCTAGATCGCTGCATGATACTCACAATCTCGGGCGCGCGCCAGATTCGCGAGTTGATCGGGTGTTCTAGAATGGGTTAACACGATTTCGGCACAACATTTGAAGCACGCGCAAAGCACATCTGAAAATGCGATTGCCTCGCCTGAGCCTGTCGCACTGGCGAGACGCGAGGCAGCGCTCGGGCAGCCCCCAGGGCTCTTCCACAGAGCGGATCGGACCATGCCGCCCGCGATCCGCGGCGCCTCCCCAGGCATCGCGCGGCGGGCCCATCACAGCTCCCAACGCTTCGCCTCGGCGCATCGCAGCTCCCAGCCGACTCAGCGCTCTATCGCTGGTCAGGTCCTCTGCTGGTCCGCGGGCGCGATCGAATGCGCGAGTTTTGCAGCCCTGCTGGGCCGCCGCTCGAGCGACCCCCGCGGTGCCCGAATACAGGTCGAGGACGTACCGACCCCTGAAATGGCCCGCCAGGCGAGCGTCACGCCGCGCGGCCTGCCCAGGAGCATGTCCTCGAGCACTGCTTCGCAGGCCTCGAGCAGCCCCCGCGCGGAGCTGACAGCTGTTCCCAGCGCGCTCCCAGCCTGGCATCCTTCTCGCACCGCTGGGCGCTCTTCACACTTGCCCACTGGCCGCGGCGCTGCGCCTCCGACACGGCGCGGTAGGGTCGCGCGATATCGATCGACGAGCCCGAGCGCCTCGTCTGATGCGGAGCGATGGTCTCGCCGATCTCGAGCTCGGCCAGCGCAGCTTTGAAATCCATCGGGCACTGCGGGTGCGCGAACGCCCAGACCGACTCCTCCCGCGGCCCATCGGCCAACGCTCTCAGGATCGGTCCTAGAAACTGCAGGCATGGGGAGTCCAGCACTATACTGACATCGCTGAGAACTGTCTTGCTCCGCTCCGCGTGCTGCGAAGGGAAAAGGAGCAGGTTCCAGAATGGGGAGATCCCCGCAGCTGGCGCAATGATACCACGGCGACCCATGCCCCACAACGGCCTCAAGCAAATGCTGAGGGATACAAGAGGAAACGCAGCCATCTGCAACGATCCCCGCTCCACCAGCCGCCAAGCTATGCCGGCGCGAGGGCCAGCGGTCACCTCCGCCGACTGCGACCCGGCGCCCGGCGCCGCCATCCCCTCAGGCAGCGAAGGGCCTGGGGGGGCAGGCGGCCACCAGCCCGCGAGAAATCCGGCGCCAGGCGCATCGAGCCAGCCAGGACCTGCTCGCCCTTGTTCGCACCCCAGCGACCGCCCGCGAAGTGGACGAAGCCGCCGACCTCGGCAAGGCGGCGCTCCAGCACCTTCGGAGTCACCGAGCTCTGCTCGAGGAAGGCGCTCGCTCCCAGCGCGGGGGTCGCGAGGGCGAGGCCCAGGAATTTGCATCGCCTCTGGTGGCCCGCGCGCCTCAGCACTGCCCGCCGCGCGGCGCCGGGCCCGGGCCCCGCCTCGTCGTCGGTGCCGCTGCTCGCGCCGACGTCGGCCAGCGCCGGCGCACGGCTCAGCTGCTCGTCGGTCTCGGGGAGGCCGAGCTCCTGGCGACTGCAGCCCAGGCGATCGCGCAAGGCCAGCTGGACGTCCTGCGGGCGGAGCGTCGCCCTCCGCTGGCTGGCCAGAGACGCGTGACCTCGTCGGCCTCCGGTCGGCCGAGGCTCCGCTGGCGGCGAGCTCGCCTGCCGCCCCCTGGCCGCCACGGCTGCAACAGCCCGTGGGCTCGGGAGAAATACGAGGAGAACATGGTAGATCTTGGGCCGAAATGCCTACGGACCTGCAACGAGGGGCAGCCTGAACAGGAGCGGCTAAATCACAATGGTTCGGGGATTGCGGGCATTCGCAAGTCCGCTTTTAAGCCGTTGCCTTGGACACTCGCAGAAGGGATCTCATCGACCAACGTAATACTAGCACTGCTATACCCAATGACTCGGTTACCCTTGTCCGCGAAGTTAAGCTCGGAGGGGATCCAACGAACGGCACCAAGAACATTCGCGGCCACACAGTGGGCCTGGAAAGCGCGAATCTGGACCAGGAACAAGAAGTTTTTGGCGCGGCTCCTACCGAGAGTGACCGACATATTATCACAGAGAAACAATTGTCTCATATCGCTGACGTGTACACTGGTCGGAACACGAATGAGTGCATTCACTGCGGCTCGAGCTTCCTCGACAAGAACGCCTTCGACTCTCCTCCATTTCTGCGCGCTCACCAACCGCCAAACATCTGACTTCAAGAGACTGGCCGGCACCTCGGGGAAAGACCGGTCGACTTCCAAGTCTCGCGCCGTCTCCGAGGGCGGCTCGTCGCAGCCCCGCTCATCTGCCCCCGCGGCGACTGACCAGCCCCCGTCCGCCTGCCACCTGAGGCCCGCCGTTTTGGAGGGCACTCTCTCGGGCACAGGGGGGCCCGACTCGCCGAATGCGCTTGCGCTCGGAGGTGCGGCCAACCTCCCTCGAGGCATCCAGGGGCCAGGAGGCCTGCGCCACGGCGCAGCCCTCAAGGCTGCTGTCGGCCTGCCCCGCCAGGCCGGTCCAGCCGCGCAGCTAGTCGCTCGCCATGAAGATCACGAGGGGCCTGAAAACACGCAGCTCCGCTCGGCACTCGCCCCACAGCGGCTCAGCCCGGCCCGATGCGCGCCCGTGCTCCACGAACGCGCGCACCGAGTGGAAGACGCCGAGCAACCTTCGGCAGCACAAGGCAGCAAAGACGCAGTGGCCGAGGACCGCCTGCACGGACCAGGCGCTGGCCCGCTCGCGCCTCAGTAGTGCGCCCAGCTCCGCGTAGACGTTCCAGATGCGCTTAGGCGCGACCCGCGCCCTCAAGGCGGCGCCGTCTAGCTCTGCGCCCAAGGCCACGATGCCCGCCCGCGAGAGCTCGGACTTATGCAGCAGCAGGCCCTCACGGTTGAAGCCCCCCTCCAGCTGCTCGAGCGCCCGGCCGACAGCCTTCTCGCAGACCCCGATCGCGCCGAGATTGTCCACGCGCGCGTAGTAGCCGATCTCGTCGGCCTCCTCTGCCAGCCAGGGCCTCGCCACCAGCGGCGGCCCGCGGTCCTGCAGAGGGGGCCTCGGCAGCGAGGGCGCAACCCTCGTCACGTGGCCTCGTCGATCATCTGCGCGATCCACAAACTCCACGTGGAGCCCATTGGCAGGGCGGCCCGGCGCGGAGTTCCTGCCTCCGCGCGGCCGAGCCGGCGGCCGTGCACCTCCTCGCCCGCCGCTCCCATCGCGTGGGACGGCGCCGGGGGGGGGGGGGCAGAAGTAGTCAGGCGGCCACGCAGGCGCGCGCAGCCGATGGAAGCAGTTCGAGACGTCGGAGAGCCCGACCGCCAAGTAGAAGTCGCTCAGCAGCTCGACAGCCCGCTCGGAACCCAGCGGCGCGTCGGCGGGCAGCTCCACCTCCGCGCGAGAGAGCCCTCCGATCTCAGCAGAGATCCGCCTGGCGGCGCCTTGAAGCAATCGTTGGCCCGCTTAGCGTCGACGATGAGGCGCTGGGCCGTGCCGCCGTCCTTCTCCACCGTGAAGAGGCCCGCCTGGCCCTTCGGGGTGACGTCCAAGATATGATACCGATCTCCGCTAGACGGCGGAGCAGACGATGAGACTCCCTCTGATAGAACCTCAGCACAGGATCGAAGTATGGGGGCGGTCTCGTACACGTCGACCGATGGCGCCAGCGTGCGCTCCTGATAGTCCCCCAGGAATCCGATGACCCCCAGGGGCGCCATGTCAGTCATGAGTGGACACTCCTGAACTGAGCCTGGCAGACTCACGAGGTCGAGCTTGAGGGGCGTGACCCTTGCCGGACAACCCGTCGCCCGATACGGCGAGTGTCCCTGAAGCAGCTTCTTCAGAGCCGTCTCGTCGCTGAAGTGGAGAGGGGGCGGGTGCCCGCTGTCAGCCAACAACTCACGCGCCCTTCTCTGGCCCATCTGCCGAATCACGCTGTCCTGCTCTGCCTTGCTCACGTCGGCCCACGGCTTGTTCATGATCGCCTTCAGGTTGGATCCAGAGTGAGTTTCGTCATCGCGGGCGGCTGGCCTGCGCAACGCTGGGCCGACTCCAGTCGCCTTCGTAGGTGCTGGCGATTTTTTGATGGCAGGCTTACCTCTCGTCAACTTCAATGTGGGCCCCATGGGCCCACGTGGGGACACTGACTGCGCGAAAAGCTCGACCGATACAGAGAAACCATAAATGGCATGACAGATTTTGAGCCGAAAGTGGCTACGACCGTTGTTGATGGTGTTGTTGTTGCTGTTGCTGTTGTTGTTGTTGGTGTTGTTGTTGTTTGGTGTTTTTGCTGTTTTTCATCCCGTTCTTTTTTCCTGCGGCCGCAAAGCCTGATGGGATTTGGTTATAGGTTATTCGGTATGCAGGGGGGGCGTCTCCTGCCCCCCCCCCTCCTGCGCCCTGTTTTTTATATATGAAAACATATCCCGGCAAAGCAACCTAACAGCGATGTGTAGAAGCATATATGGAAACATTCCCCTTAAGATCCAGATGAGAATCCAGTTGTAGAATTCTCCTGTTCTCGCAGTCGCAGTCGCATTCGCGATGACAGTCGCGGTGGCAACGGCAGTCACAGTCACAGCCTCAGCCTCAGCCTGCCTCAGTATCAGCCTGCCTCAGCCTCAGCCTCAGCCTGCCTCAGCCTCAGCCTCAGCCTGCTTCAGCCTCAGCCTCAGCCTCAGTCTGCCTTCAGCCTCGGCCTCAGCCTCAGGCTGCCTCAGCCTCAGGCTGCATCAGCCTCAGCCTCAGCCTCAGCCTGCCTCAGCATCAGCCTGCCTCAGCCTCAGCCTCAGCCTGCCTCAGCCTCAGCCTCAGCCTGCTTCAGCTTCAGCCTCAACCTTAGCCTCAGCCTCAACCTTTTCCTCAGCCTCAGCCTCAGCCTGCATCAGCCTCAGCCTCAGCCTCAGCCTGCCTCAGCATCAGCCTGCCTCAGCCTCAGCCTCAGCCTGCCTCAGCCTCAGCCTCAGCCTCAGCCACAGCCTGCTTCAGCCAAAGCCTCAGTCTGCCTTCAGCCTTGGCCTCAGCCTCAGCCTGCCTCAGCCTCAGCCTGCTTCAGCCTCAGCCTCAGCCTCGGCCCGCCTCAGCATCTGTGTATGGGGTTGAAGTACAAGTGTACAGAACCCCTGGTCCGTTGGTAGAGAGATGGAGGGATAGATGGATATCTTTCCCTCCCACGCGGCCAAGGTACGATCGCTCCAATTCAGTACCTGAGCCCAAACGGCCAGGTGCGGGAGAGGTAAGGATAAGGAGTATATATGAGGGTATTACACGGGTTCCTTCCACACCCCCCGTCCCGAATCCCGCCCGTGAAGGCAGGACTCGGGAACAGAGGATAGGAATCCGTAACCTCTGAACTCCTTTAGTCCTTAAGTCAGAAAGGCAGCTGAGGCGTAGAAAACAGCGAAGCCACAGCTGCAAAGTGAGGTAAAAAGAGATACCCTAAGTCCCCCTTTCATCCCCGGGCGCACTTTGGCGCCCCCTCGGTGCGCCCCCCAAAACGCTTCGGCACTCGAGGGAGGGGAAGAATGAGACAAGGGTAGGCGGAGAAAGTAGATCTGAGCATTAAGGCAACATGCAATCTGCCTCGCAAGATTTGCGAGGCAGGTGTTGCCACCAGCAAGCAGATTATTCTCGACGCAATATTGTTCAAATTGGTAAAATATGCATGCGAAGATCGCGTTGGCGAACACAATCTTGAAATGAAACACAGGTCTGCCTAAAAAATCAATGTATACTAAGATCGCGCTGACGAACACGATTCTGAAAAGAAACGCAAATCTGTGTAAAGCAAGTGTCTGGCCAGACAAAATGTCGTGTTGATGAACACGAAAAGAGATGTATAAAAATCTGTTTGGCGACTCCCGTTGGCGTTGCTCCTTAGGAGGCTGCCTCGGTGATCGCAAAAGATATCTATATGTGTGTATGGCCACTTGTGTGAATGATTGAAGTGGCCTAAAAGAATGTATTAGCCACCGCTCAAGGCGAACTTTGATGAAAGGAAGTTCTGCTCTTGAGCAGTGGGCCTTGCGGCCGACTCACTACGCGTCGCCGTCCTTGTAGAACCTGCGGTCCCACACCCTCTGGCCGTTGTGCGTCACGTAGCTTGTCGTAAACGTTTCCCAAGTTGTCCTCGGGATCCAGTTGCGGAACCAATCGTTGTACGTGATATCCTGGATGTACACATACTCGTCGTTGTTGATCGCAATGTAGATCCAACATTTGATGTAGTAACTCCAGTATCGAAGACCCCAGTAGCTGTCCTCGAGGTCGTGGCGCCAGTAAGCAGCGTAATCAGATGTACGTGCTCTCTTGGCGCGCGGCATCGCGGGCGCGTAGTCCTCCGCGCCTGAGGCGCGGGACGCAGCAGCGTCGCCAGGAGCAGGGCGCGGCGGCGGGCGCGGCGGCGGCCGCGACACCATGGCGTCATCGGACTGTTGGGATTGTGTATCGGGATCGGCTCTCTTCCCTGTACTAACCCCCCTCTGGTCGGTGTGTGACGGATCGAGGGAGCCTATCAGTTCGTTGGCAATCGCGGCAAGCTTACGCTGGGTGAACTGTTCACGGGTTCCGTCCCTTCGAGGGAGAGAAACCGTAACCTGTCCGCGCGCCTGCCGCGTCTGCCTGTCAATGCGTCCCTCGTTCAGCCACCACTTTCTCCGACCAGCCTGTCCTGTCCTAATGCTGACGTCAAGGATGTCCCACGCGTCGCGCATGTCCTCGACGGTCCAGGGCTTCTTGCCGACATTCACGCGGGCACCTGTCATCTGATGATGGAACTTGAGGTCGTTGAGAAAGCGTTGTATGAGATTGACGAATGGGTAGTACAGAGGTCGGTCGTCCTCGGATTCGCCCATTAATCTGCACTCGTGTGCAGGCGGGCTACCGGCTTCGACCCACTTCTGATACCTCTTTTTGGACGCATTGGCCAATCTCCGCAACTGATCTTTCTCTGTGCCTATGTGGGATCGCGCACCCGTCATAATGACGTGCGCGCCATCCTTCATGTATCTCGCGATCTGGCCCTCAGACAACGTCGTCTTGATCCAGTTCGTCAACTTCTGCAGGTACGCGAGATCGCTCTGTGTGGCGGTGCTCTTACCTGTGGCGCCTACGGCCACAGTGTATTGCCAACAGATATCACAAAGTGTGCCGTCACCTGGGACAATCCCGAGGGACAGATCTCGACCGCAATCTTGACAGAGCGGTATGGGATGCAAGATCGTCTCGGGGGCCCCTGCCGAAGTCAGGTGATCGCGGGATCCCCAGCGGGTGTCCTGACCGCGAGCGAGGCTCTGACCGATCTGATTGATCGCCTCACGATTGATCTCGGTGTTCGGTCTGGAAGCGATCGATCTGCTTAAACCCTCGATCTCGATCCGAGACAACCTTTCCCCTGGCAGTCCTTGATACTCTATCTTGATGTTGTCGGTATCCTCAGTACCGCCATGGCAAACGTTCTCCTCACGAAGACGGCGAGCCTGCTCCTGCAAGGTAGCCTCGTTGTCGCCCTCCTCGCGCTTGAGTCCCGTCTGCTCGGCTATGATACGTACCATAGTTTCCTGATCGGGAGCTGCAGACGCAACACTGCCTGGGTCCTGGGGAATATCCTGCTCAGCGCCTTGCTCTCGAGGCGCAGCAGGTGTTTCCACCAGCTCTTCCCATACAGGAAAATCTGGATTACCGTATGTCACAGTACAATTTTTGAATAGGTCACGCAATGCCTGAAGTGCAGGATGGTTCTCATGGATGGCCTCTTTGGCGAAATCTGGAAGCTCCGCAATACTATCTTTCAAAATGTTCTGGTATACTTTGGAAATCCATTGAAAGATGCCTGTGGTCGACTCCTCGATAGTCTCTGGGTCGAGGTAGTGCACCAACTTTTTGAAGAAATGATCTGCACCACAATTAGGTAAGTCACGTGCCCACTTGTAGGTATGATTGTAGTTCAATTGGTATGACTCCGCATTCCATGCTTTCGATCCAAATCGAATTTCAAATTGTAAATGTGACTGAATTTTGTCCATTACGATTCTGTCTGCGCCACTGTGTAGCTCGATGATCTGCTTCATCTTGATCATAGGCGAACCCACCAATAACGCCGATGTCCAACAATACACGCGGCAATCATCAGACTGTTTAATCCATCTTGAATCCTCGTCGGGGTCGCAAT